TGCCATTGTGCAAGGTGCCTCCTTTTAAGAGCATGAAACTTTTCCGTAGATGTTCTTTTCTTTGTGATAATTCTTTCAAAGAAAAGCTTATGCAATTTTGGGAGATGGCGAATGGTAACAGGTAAAAGCAAAAGAGAGAGAGAGAGAGAAAGCAAAATATATCAACAGTATTACGTGTGTACAGGTGCTTAACTGTAGTACCGTAACCTGTGTTAGCACATAACTTTATAAACTGTAATATTTTTCTTTTTGCGGGACCCTGCAAGATGTAGGGGGTAGTCTGAAATAATCCTCGTCTTTCAGACTCAGTTGAAAAGTTTCCCAGCAATGTAGAGAAACCTGCATTTTTCTGCTGGGAGAAAGGGGGAAGCAAAATGGATTGCAGGGAAGAGGTGGGGTGAATGAAAGGAGTTTAGAGGAACTAGACAGGCCCAAGAGACCATGGGGAGAGGGGTAGGGAAGGGGGTAGAGTAGGGATGGGAGTAGGAGCATCTTCCTTCGTGCCTCTAAGTCTTTCTTGCCAAACCACCTAGTCTTCTTAGTTTGGGACTTGGAAGCACCCTTCTTCTTTAGTGAAGTGATGTTTTTAAGGAAGGGGAAATAACTAGTTCTTTACACATAAACACTCAAGAACAAAAACAATCACTTCTGTAAACCTGTGAATTAATACTATGCCTTTTTTTTTTTTTTGAAGGATCATTTCTTGAGAAAGACATTTTAATGTAATTATAAGCTATCAAGAAATGGGAAAGAATTTTGCATTTTGTATGCAGGCTTGAATAAACGGATCCATTGAGAGACATACAGAGCAAGTCACTTGGAATGCACCAGTCAACAGCAGAAATGTAAACATACTCCAGCTACATGCTCTGCACTTGTATTTCAGCATGTTGCAGAACAAAACTGCTATTAATGCAGGCTGACTGCTGCCCTTGTTGAATTCAGTAGTGAGTTCCTCACAAAACCCAGTTTAATTCACGGACCGTGGATCAGCACCACATTGTGTCTGACACTCTGGAAACCCAGGAAGGCAGGAACTTGCTGCAAAGGAGTCTCTGGTCCATCTTAAAATGAGGTGTATGAAGTTGGTTTGCAGAGCTGAGTAGGTTTAGAGTAACAGCAAGTGAATAAAATGCTCAGGCCAACAGACAACATCTTTGTCTTTGTGTTCCAACACATTCACGCAACCTTATCTCATAGATAGGTAGATCTGCCACGTATTTATCTTCATCCAATACCAGTCCTAATGAAATAGCATCCACTAAGACTGTTGCTTCATGAATTATGATAATTATAGAATGAATTAGAATGAATAATCATGAATTATGATGATTATAGAAAGCCACTATCAGAATCTGTTAGAATCTTAGCCTTTAAAAAGTAGTAACACGTTGCTGGAAAAAATTGTGTAAAAATCAAACACAACTCAATTGGTTGTGCTGAAACTAGACTTACTCTGGTAGCTGTAGGGGAGCAATATTAGTTTGTGTTTAAAACCAAGTAACCTCCTCAACATATCTCTTGATGGTTTTTGGCTTGTTTTTTTGGTCATCTTGATAAAATGAATATCCCCAAACCTGATACTGTGATGTTAGAGTTGTTTTTGTTCCTGGGTATAAAAATGTGTTGTATTTGTGAGGGGTGTATAACAGTGATACCAGGAAGGAAAGCTTAATCACAAACAGAGGTACGTAAGATCTATGTTTCAAGAGGCTCAGCTATCTAGAAAGCAGGTTTGACGTGCAGGAATCTTTAGCTTGTGCTGGTGAAATCTCTTGGCAAGTAAAATGTCCTTGACTATAAAAGGCTTTTATCGCATTTTTTGTTTTACACATTTTCTTTTGATTGGGCTTTGAGGGACCTCAAAAAGCAGCATTAGATACTGAGCTGCATGCTGAAATTCCCTTGCCTAATTTTCTCCATTTTACACGTTTCCTTGCATCTTTTACAGGTCCTTCTTATTTGACGTTGAGTAAGTCACTTCTTTCTTCAACTGCAGGTTTATTATAGGGTCAAAGGAAGACTTATAGCCTCTTGCCCTGTCTCATGATTGTTAGGTACTGCAAATATGTTCCTTTGGCACGACAGAGACATAGTACAGCATAGTCAGATCAAATTCTGAGCAATAGCTTCCTTACATGTTTAAAAATAAAAGATAAATATCAGTTTCATAAGGCAGATGAACCTTAATTGCTGAATGTTTATACAAAGTTTTGAGATGGTCAGAGGCAAGGTCCTGTGCAAATGGAGTATTTTATTAAAATATTTTAATAAGCAGATTCTCTGACCCAATAGAGGGAACAAAGATGCCTGTCCACTCTTAATTTTCCCTACCCATAATTATTTCTACAGAACATAAATTACATATTGTACAGCTTTATTCTGTTTTCAGAGGATAATTATACTAGAAATTCCAGCCTTCTTTCTGTGGAGGGACCTCTTTCTCAGAAACCACACCTCGTAGCAGTCTGTTTTTCATTTGAGAATTATGTCAACAAGTTTTTATGGATTGACTACTTTCAAAAGATGGATACAGGTAAAATGGGAAGCCCTTACTCACAAATCATAATAATTCAGCCTGGAAGATGTATTGGAAGCTGATGATATAGGAGTGGAAGCTTTTTTCCATGTGAAATGTGTTAAGAGATTACTCCTAACTTCATGCATGCTATTGTAACTGAGAGAGGAGCCTGTAATTCCTGTTGTAGTCATCTGAGCGTCTCCAGTGGTATCTCCATGCTGAGGGGGAACTTGGACTTGGTTGCAAACGAGGCAAGGCAGGATGCAAAACGGGCAGTACCATTTGCTCTGTGTATGAGATTGGAGGCTTTTATGGATATATTTACATAAGCATTTAAGGAGTTTAATAAACCGAAAGCCAGGGTCTTAAAGTAAGGTTCATAACCCACTTGTAACATACCAGGAGGGACAAGACTTTCATTCTCCAACTTCAAAGACTGATGGACCCAGTATACTTTCAATTTCCTAAGAACAAACTGCTGTTTCAGAAATGTTGCAACTTCATAATAGTCTAGTAGTTGTGCTTCACAGTTTTTAACATCCACAAGTAGCAAAATTATATTCCTGTGTAAGTAATTTTAGTAAGGGGGGTAGCAGCAAGGAAACCGAATTTGGTTTAGAGAAAAAAAAAAAAAAAAACTTGTTCAAGTCTTACTTCTGCTGGAAAAGTTTGTTTGTTTTTTTATGTAGCTGTGGTGTACTCAAGGCTTTCTTTTTTCATCATTGCATATGCAAAATCCAGACCTGCAGAACTGTTCCATGTGGTGAACAGTCTGCTGA